GTAGCCTTAAGAACGTTCCTACGAGAAACGCTGCACCTCGGGCAGGGGACCCTCTGCCTGCAACAAGCATCATCTCCACCCCCGAAGCCCAGCAGCCCCTTCCTAAGACATGGACCCGCCCATCCTCTTGGCACTGAGATTAGTGTGACGCTGAGAGGTGGGCAAGCCCCTGGGGAGGTCAGGGGTCTTGGGCCCACTTCCATCAGAGGGCAGAGCTGGCACAGCCTCCAGGGTGGAGAGATGACCCACGCTGGGCCGGTAGAGTGAGCGGGAAGGACAGGCTCTCGGGGCAACGGGGAGACCGAGAGAAAAAGCTGGAGTGGGAGAAGAAAGGGAGAGGAAATGGAGCGGCGGGCACCGGCAGAGGCAAGCCGGAGGTCTCCTCTGGTCTCACAGCTGCGGGACAAAGGGGAAAGGGAGGCCTCCCTCCCAGTCTGTGGGGCAACCCCCTCCTCGGATGGAAACAGCACTCGAGCCCTGTGTTTGGGGCCCTTCAGCAGCTACCTCGGGCGCATAAACCGACGTCCCCATCAGCTCGCACAGGTGGGCGTACTCCACGTTGGTCAGGCCTGCTCCGTACTTCACCTCGGGATCGCTCTCCAGAGGCAGGAAAAGGTTCCAGAGACCCTCAGACTTGGCCTTCTCCTAAAAGATGAGAAGAAGAATGAGGGGCACCTCGAGTTTTCGCTTGCTTATTCTTCGGAGAAGTCCTTAACGAAAACCACTAAAACATTTGACGCTGCTGCCGCATCGCCATCAGCAGCAGCTGTGAAGCCAGGCCGGGGCTGTGCCTCCCGGAGCGGGCATCCACACCTCGGACGTACAGCAGTTCGGTAACGCTTTCGTTCCCCTGGCTCCATCCTGGGAAGTATAGTCCGGGTGAGACCTGTTGAAGGTTCTGCTGATGCTCAAGGTCGTTCTGTTCTGCCCTAAAGCCCAGAATTCTAAGCCCCTCAAATGACAAATCCCAGGATGCCAGAGGACAAAACCACGAGGTTTAGGGGCATCCAGCTGCCCTCACTTTACAGCGCAGAGGCACACCGAGAGAGGCGGACTTGCCTTGAGGGTTTCTGTGAGTGGGTGGGGCGTCCATCTCTCCGAGGAGGCCTGGTGGTCTCGCAGAAGCTGCTCGGAGGGGTAGATGTGGGCCTCTAGGAACTTTTTGAGCTTGTGATACAAATCCTGGACATGACTTGGAAGCCCGTCGGGAGAGAGAACCAAGTGGGACTGGGACGTGGGTGCCTGCGTGGAATAGTCCCTCCTTGGCTGCCATCGCCTCGGGTCGGCCCACGTGCTGAACGGCCGGCTGGGAGGCAGGGAGACGGGGGAGTCTTTGAAGACCCGGAAGCCCTCTTTCGTGGCAAAGTCCCAGGCGAGGTTCGCCATGAACTCGGCCTGTTTCCCGCCGCTTCTGGCTGTGTCCGAGCTGGCCTGACCTTTTGGAAGAGAAGAAAGGAGGTTTAGGCCCCTGCGGCTCCTGGGTCGCCCCTCCACCCGCAGCCCTCTGCCCAGCGGGGAGAACGTGGCACCAGAGTCCATGTTCTCAGCTGCCGGGAGGCCCGAAATCTCTGCCGTACGTCCTTCCCCATTTGCCGACGGTTAGGACCAGAGATTTTGTTTCCAGGGATTCTTCTCTCAGGAGGTGGATGTGGAGACGTCCTTTCATCACGTTTCCCCTCCGAAGCCTGGCTGCTGGCAGAGCCCCCCGCCCCCCCCGCCAACAGAGCACTAGGCTAGGATTCCGTGGCACCTTCTTTGCTGATTCAGGGCCTGGATGGTGTTATACGGGGTGGCCTTCCCAGCGCTTTTAAAAAGCCTTTTTATCTGCCCAGGGATTCCATCACATTGTGTGAACTGCAGTTTAGGCTGTTCCTTTGCTCCATCCTATTTCAAATGTGGTGGGGAGTTTTTTTATCCTGCTGCTTTTTATTATGCTTTCTGTTTTAAAATAATGGCTTAAAAAAAGTATCAACTGTTTGGCCCACAGACGATTTAAAATGACACCTTCACTGCTCCTAGACTGCTGTAGAAGATGCTTTTAAGTAAAGATTCAGGAACAGCCATGCTCTCCCCTGCCTGCACGGCTACCTCCCATGTGTGGCCAATCTAGGCTCCGCTGGTCTTGCCGTCTCACCTGTGAGTGAGCGCTTGTACACTCCCTGCAGGATGGCAGCGATTCTGAAGAAGGAGAAGGCCATGTAGAAGTTCCAGTCCTCCACCGGCTGCATGCCCATGCGCTCACAATACATCTGGACGTAGGCCTCGGCTGTGGGGATGCCCAGCTGGTGAAGGTCGAGGTCCCTCAACCCTACAAGAGGAAAAAGTCACTATCATCATCTCACAAAGCATGGCTCAAGGCCCCAGCGAAAATCCAACCTTCCCAACTAGATGTCTCTTGAGGTGTGTCGAGTTACGACTCCTGTCGTTCTCCATGTGTCCGTAGTCTACAGGTGCCTTTCTTGCGCACTCAAGAGCTTGCAGAAGCAGCTTTGTCTGGACTTCGGCTTTCACAGCGCAACAGCCAACCTGGCCCCCTTGTGGGGGGGATGCTGGAAGCCGGAGCCTAGAAAGAAGTGCAAGACTTTGGCAAGCTCTTGAGCGCTAACGCTGGGCGGCAAGGAGCCAGGCGTAACTGGTTATCACCCTTGACTTCTTGGCCAAGGCACGACACAGCACTCCCGCTTGCTTCTGTGCAGGAAAGAACCCCAGTGCCTAGGACCCGCTCCGCCTCTTGCTCTTCAGGGCGCTCAAAGTCCTCGCAGACGCTCTGGATTTCCTGCTCCGATGAAAACGGCTCCCATTTCCCAGGAAACACCCACAAGTTTGTGTTGCTTGGACATGGGTGTTTCCCTGCCCCCATGCTCAAGGAATATGCACGTTAACCTTTTAAGATGCTGAAGTGAGAGGGCAAATAGTAGACCAGGCAGCTGTACGCCACGTCAGAAAGAGGGTTGCCCAGGGTGGAAAGCTCCCAGTCCAAGACGGAGACCACCTCTGGCTTCTCCGGGTGGAAGATGAGGTTATCCAACCTGCCAGAGGAAAAATGGCAAGAGGCTGGAGAGAAATCCTGGGGGACGACCGTTTGCAAGGGGACCCAACCAACGTGGCTTATTTAAAAACAGTATTTTCCTCATTGCTGCATGTTCTGCTAGGATGTCAGCCGTTTAAAATATACGTATATCATTCACAACAGATTTGAAACAGATTAATATCGTTAATGGCCTCTGTACTACTGATTCTGTCCTCCCGCTGCCGAGGACACGTATCCAAAAGTAAACATACTTAAAATCACAGATAAAAGAATATCAGCTGAAATGTAATAAAAGCAGTACGAGCAAGCAGCTAAAGACCAAGGAAGCCCCTGGGCGTTCTCCAAAAGGTCTGAGAAACAGATGTTTTAACGAACACCTGGAAGACAACCAGCGCAAGAGCAGCCCCTCTGTTTCTCTCCGCTTTAAAGGAACTCTGGGACAATTTGTAAAAGGGAGCATTTTTTGGTTCCATCGGTACCTGAAATCTCCGTGCACAACGGACAGACGTTCGCGGGCTGGCAGATGGGACGGGAGCCACTCCAGGAGCCTCTCCATGGCCGGGATGGTGTGCGTCTCGGTGGCCCGGTATTGTTTGCCCCAGGTCTGGACCTGCCGCTCAATGTAGTGACCTACGACGTTGATTTAATTCGTTCATTCCACCGCCCTCTACTTTTCAGCCCCAAAGCCTCCTGAGGGCAGCCTCCCAGAAGGCTCCACTGGGATCGTCTGAGAAAAGAACTGTCATCAACCCTGGGAGGGACCACCGTCAAGCTCAGCTCATCCGCTGTTCTCCTGGGACATGCTTTGTGTCTGAGGGACGTCAGGGAGCTGCCTGTACAAGTTCTGAGTTCCCTTCAACCAACAGGGAAGGACCAGCTCATCCGCTGTTCTCCTGGGACTGAGGGAAGTCAGGGAGCTGCCTGTACGAGTTCTGAGTTCCCTTCAACCAACAGGGAAAACCATGGAAAATAATCCAGAAAGAGATGACAATCTGGAGAGTGAGTTAGGCTTCATTTTATGGGGACTACATATCCTATCAGGCTTAGCCAGCCTAGCCCAAAGGTGGGGCATGATGGCAGCAGAGGTCCCAACACCGTCTGGACAGCCGCACCCGCTGCTGACATACCATGTTTCCCGTAGTCTTCCAGGCCAGCCGCCTTCACGTCCACGCTGTGGATCTTGCAGAGGACCTCGTTCATGGCCCTATAAATCTCACCCCGCTGGCTCAGCTCCAGCTTTGGAAGCGAGGGCTCCTTGAAGATCCGGCCGTTGCAGTGCTCCATGATGTAGAAAGGGGTGCCGATGATGCTGAGGCCATATGAAAGACAGGAACGAGGCCTTTACCTTACAGACCTCCAGAGGGAAAACAAACGGGCTCGGCTATTCAGGCTGCTTTTAAAAAGCCAAACGTACACAAATCAAATCACCTGGAATCTTCACATAAGGCCAAGACCTTGGGCACTGGAACGCCAGCCTCAGCAAGGGCCTTCATAACCCTAGAGCAGAAGAGAGTTCATGAGTTCATGTTGTGAGGATCTGATGCGAGCTTTTCCGTGTGTTAAACTGTTGAACGCACCAAGGTATGCAGACTATGTGAAGATATTACAAGGGGCCAAAAAAAAAGGGGGGGGGAGGTTCACAGGCTGTGGCATAAAAAGAATTCGCCCACAGAGTTATAAACGACTGAACAGAGATATTCCAGCAAGGAAATGAAAATAATCTCCACAATGGATATTTTTCGTTCAGCCACCTTGTGTTTAGCGAATGACTAAGCATGCTTTCCAGTAGCACAGAATATTTGCAGACTTACAAAGGAATTCTGTGAAATGCAAAACTTCCATATTCTAACCATTTTGTCACATTAACCGTGAACCGTCAGCCTTTTCCGCTGTTCTTCCTCCTGGATCTCCTAGGAGTCAGGCCAGGCAAAATGTAAAGCTGAAACATCGCCTGCTTAGAGCCTCACACGAATTCGAATACAGCATCACCCTCATTCCACCTCATGCGGATGTGAGGCCTTCGAAGCCAGCTTTCCCCCCACTCAACCGATTTTTGTAATTTCAGGCTTGAGGAAGACACATGGCGAACTCAAAAGCTCGCACATATCTTTTTTTAAAAAACGTATTTGGTTGCTCTAATAAAGCAATATAAATTTGGACAGTTTTTCATATAGAGCAATGCAGCGGCCCCCTCGGCTTTCTCTGTCTCCGGGTACCAATAGCTCAAGCGAAGCTGACCAGAGCTGTTCGTTGAACTTGTCACCTGTACTCTCTCTCCACAGCATGAGCTGAGGGCAAAAGTTTGCCGGGCGGTTTCTTCCTCAAAACCAGCTGAAAATCTCCCAGACTGAGGTAGTATGTTGGATTGGACTGCCCGTGGCTGAACTGTCGCAGCATCAGAGGCCCTGGAAGAGAGGACAGACGGCCAGTGGGTGAGAGCAGGAGTACCCAAAGGATTCAGGAGGTGTCCCTCTTTCCATCCCCGTACCTTTTGCCTGAACTCCTAAAACATTCCTAAGGTATTTCTCGAGGGGCTCTTTGGGGATCTCCATTGTCGGCCGCACAGGACACGTGTAAGGGGCAAACGCCCGCAGAGGGAAACCCAGATGGCTCTCTAACTCGCGGATAGCAGAGGCCGGGTCTTCAACCTGAGATGGGGGGGGGCAGAGGGTTAGAGAGGCAGCAGAGAAAAGCAAGCATAGGTTTCAGCAAGCAAGAAGGGCACTTCTGCAGAGAGGCATCGTGTTTCCAAACACCCTATGCTAAAACTTGGGAGTTAATCCACGAAGCTGAGAAGAGGGAGATTCGAGAGAGAGAAAAAGAAGACTTTATAGCTAAACGGTGACATTTACGTTCACAAGATGAAAATGATGGCCATCAAAGGCTTTAGAAGATTAGACAATAAAGTGTACCAGCAGCTGTTTGTCATGATCGCCACATCCTGTCCTCCAGGATCACACAAAGCTTATGCTGTGCCACTGATTTACAGCCCTGGAAGCCCCAGGTCATCTCACCTTCACCGTTTTCATGCCAAGCTGACCCGCAGTTTTCAGGTTCTGCCCAATGTCATCCAGGAAGATGGACTCCTTGGCAGGAACCCCCAAGCGCTCCAGGCAAATTTCGTAGATCCGAGGATCTGGTTTACACACCCGTTCCCGGCAGGACTCGACGATCTAGAAAGCAACGGCCCCGGGGGCAGGGGAGGGTAGAGACAGAGAGAAGGCAATGCAGGCAGGAAAGTGCAAGGAAGCAGATGAACTGTCCTTCCATGATGGATTTGGGAATATGAGACAGAATCAGGGCTGGCAGCGCAGGTCAGCCCACCAGAAAACAGAGAGGCCAACAGACTTCTTAAAAAAGAAAAATGCAGGTTTTCATAAAACTACTTAACAAAAACTAGACTTCTCTTAGAAGCATTACCCAGTCTTCTATCCTGCATGGAATGTATCTTCTGAAATATTGCATAACAGGAGGCCCACAAACCACAAATAAGGACATTTCAATTCTTCATCTTCCTTATTTTTTCATATATAAAGGGAGGCAAACTCAGGTGATTAAGCCGCACAAAATTCATCAGCTAAGATTCCTTGGCAATAACAACAAACCACCTGGGGTTTCTCGTTGCGCGCAGCCAACTTACCACATCAAACTGCTTTCGGTCGAGGGGCAGGAAGCTTTCGCCGCTGCGCAGATAAAAATTGTTACTCAAAACAGCGGTCTTGAGCCCTTCAGATCGGAGGCACTTTATCGCTTCGGTCATAACAGGGTGCTGTTCTGACATTTGGTGGCCGGTTAATTCGGAAAAGAAGGAATCCACCGGAACAGAGGCATTTGCCTGCAAGAAAGATAGTGAGAAATTGTGGCAAGACATATGTTTAGGGAGAGAAATTGATGGAGGTTACATGGAGCACACACCTCTCGCTCCCCACATGACCCGAGGCGCCCAAAGACTTCCCCAGGGCAAAAGGGAGCCCGCAGGAGCCTCTGAACTTCAAAGGGTGGTCAGAAGCTTTCCGTGAGTTTAAATTAATTCTTTCCAGCATCAGATAGGGTTTATGCCAGCATAGCTTTGCACAGCAGGATTTTGTTCCTAGTCATGATGCTTTCCGTTCAAGTTGAGGACTGAAAATCAAGCAGAGAAACGGCTTACGATCATGGAGCACTGCTGCCCAAACTCCTGAAGAAACTCGGCTGGTGTCAGCTCCCCTCTCATTGTTCAAGTTGAGGATGATAGCCCCTTAGGCCACTGAAAACCAAGCAGAGAAACGGGCTTACGATCATGGAGCACTGCTGCCCAAACTCCTGAAGAAACTCGGCTGGTGTCAGCTCCCCTCTCATGTACCTCATCCAGGATCCGTCCTTCCCTCCCGATATTATCGCCTGCACGATGGTGCCGGTGGGGACACGATTCCGAACCTCCCAGTCTAAAATGCAGGAAGGCAGGACTTGGTGAGAAACACAGACAGGTCTTCAGGAAGCAGACGAGAAAGTCACCTTAACGCATCGAAAGTGCATCCTGTCTAGTAAAAGTATGGAAAAGTTAAGTACATTAAAAGAAGGTCGGGAACTTCAGGGCCTGAAATTAAATCTGGCTGTCATGAAGTCTCAGTCCGGCCCTTTGATCTTCCTTACATGGCTAGACTTCCTTCCTGATGATGCACCATCTGGTGGCTTCCCAGGTTTTACTCAGGTTTTTCCCTGAACTCAGAAGGTCAAAATGCTTAATTACTGGTGGTAACAATGTTGAGCTACAATATGATCAGTGCTTTTCATGTCTGGCAGTGCCCACCAGGTATGTGTCCCCCCCCCAAGCACTTCTCTGAAATGGAGTTCCCAACCTCTGCCTTATACTTTAATATATATGGTAGTCCAGATAGGCGGGGTACAAATCAAATAAATAAATAAACAAATATTATTGAGTAGACCTGAAGGAGCATTATTTTTGCACAGGCTTCTCTGCCTTATACTTTAATATATATGGTAGTCCAGATAGGCGGGGTACAAATCAAATAAATAAATAAATAAATATTATTGAGTAAACTTGAAGGAGCATTATTTTTGCACAGGCTTCTGCCATCACCTGTACGGAGACTCAGAATTTCAGCATTACATACGTAGTGCCCAAGGATAGAGCGAAACCACAGACAGGTCAGAAAGAAATTAAATGGAGAATATATTCTGTTATTAACCACGGCCATTGCAAAACATTCCAAGACTCCACATCACGTGATGGAAGCTGTAAAGCCTTGGCCATTCTAAGGCAACCGATGGAAGAAGTCTCAAGGCTACCTTACCTCTGACTCACAGGGGTAAAACACTCACCTGCAGCCACTCTGAATGGGGAAGGCAGGAGGACGCCACCCATATCAAAGATGACAGCTTTGTACGGACAGGAAGAAGACGTCCTGCCCAACATCGAGGTCAGAGAGCGAAGCCGAAACCGCTGGAGGATTCGTGGCTTCCCGGCATGGTGGTCGAGGAGGGCTTGGAAAAACCTCCCGGCCCACATTTTCTAAAACTGTTCAAAGGAAAGGAGGGTGAAAACGCATTAGAGGTCTATTCAGAGCGGAGCAGCTTGGCAGCCTTACTGAAGAAGCTGGACTCTCCGTTTTCAAAAGGCTTGTGACTTCTGCATGTCATCAACTAGGGTGGCCTACGGCAACAAGCTCTTTTTGGTTAATTTTTTTTTAAAAGTGTTATTGCTTTTAACTTTCTGCTGTCACAAAAGGTGCCCAGCCGAGCCCTGCTGGATCAGATTGGGGGGGACAGACACCTCTTGCCCTGGTACCTTATATTATGTCCCACAGCGAGCAGTTAAATGCCTCCAGATGGTCCAGAGTATAAATGTGGCTGCCTTCCTCTTGTTTTCTTATCCCCAGCGTCTGATATTCAGCACCACCAGGCTTTGACCAGGGAGGACTTTGAACCCTGGCAGAATCCACCTCAATTTACCCTCCCGGCATTCTCTTTACGGAGCCACTCGAGCAAATCTTTCTCGTTTGCTGGACTCCAGCCTGCAGGTGAAGGGTCCCTGCGCCAGGGGTGGGGAGCCTTCAGCCCTGGGGGTGAAATCGTGGCTGCCCCGCTTTTCTAGAACACCGCTCTAGAGCCGAGACCCGACTTCTCCACCAACACCAACACCCCTTCTAAAATGTTCTAAAGGCCTCTCCTAAGGCAGGGCTCCCGGCAGTGAACACTTTAGACTAAGATGTGCTGCTCATTTTGGCTTCGGGCACGACCTCCCGTCAGAACGCACGGCCCACCCCAGAAGCTAACCCGGCCCTGGAGGCTGAAAGAGGCCCACCCTCGGCGCTGGGTCACCCGATTCCGCCCAGGTGGGGCGCAGAATTATAGGCCGGGGGGTCGTCGGGTCGAGCCAGCTGCCCCGCACAGGGCACCCCAAAGGGCCATGCCAACACGGTGAACCCCGCAAAACGAGAGAGAAATGGGGGTCATCCTCCATCCATGCCTTGTGGGGCTGCACAGAGGAGATTTCTGCCTTTGGGGGTTTCGCTGTTTTTCTTTTTAGGGGACAAGCTGCCCTGAACTCTGGGCGTTTCTGCTTCGGTTCTCAGTAAAAAAAGTACTGTATAGCTTGGGGGGAAAAGTTGTTT